CAAGTCCCATCTGGGGCTCGTTTTTTTCTATTACACTAAAAATTGTTTCATCTTTAAATTAAAAGTGTATACTCCTAAAAATTTTTTTGGCTTACGGTTCCAAAGGGAGACCTAACCTTCCGAAACTTGTCTTTGAATGTTCTCTAAATCCGATCACGATTGCCGCCGCTTGGAATCTCACAAACGTAGTGGCTGGGATGCTAAGTGAGTTAGCAACCCAGCCGCTACGCTTGACATCCCACAACACGAAGCACTTTATGGCTGTTTTTTTGCTGGCCGAAATCAGGGTGCAAGCAAAAAAGTTAAATAATGTGGCCAATGGTGTGCATTCGATAGGTGAAGGTGTGTAGCAAAGTGTATAGTCTCACTACAGGTTGTTCAGACTGTTTTTTTGTTTGGTGTGATGCACGCAGCTCAAACCGGAGTAATTAGTTTATCTTTACATATACTTTCCATTGTTTAAGAAAAATATATATTTTTTTGGAATAAACTTTTGTAAAGAAACTGTTCAGTATTAAATTTTTGTATTTAAAGCTCGCTTGTCTTATGAATGGAAAAGAAATCGGCACAATCTTTTCAACGACACACCAACGAACTCTTAGAATGAAAGAAGATTCTAATGCCCCATTATTTTTTTATTATTCCATAAAAAGTGCGCGCCAAAGATTTTTATTCACGAGCTGCGATGAATTTTTTTTTTTCCATGATACGATGTTTTGATTTTTTACAAACTGAAGTTTTTTTCTACTGACTTTTTTTTTTTACAGATTGGAAGACAGCGACTGAAAAACATATACATCATTCGTTCAAGCAGAGACACAAACGATAGTGTTTCAAAGTATAAATCTCAGTCTGTATATATAAAACATAATTATGGTATTATATGCTTATTTTTCCGCAGACTTTCGTTCAGTCTCGTTCAATACATGACATAAAGCAAAGAATAAGATCGAAATTCACTTAAGTTTTGGGGGTACTCGGAAATTATTTTCTCGATTATGCCCATTTAATTTCCTTCACCCTTCACCTGGATCAGCAGGCTTCAATCATGCTATTTCATTTAAACAACATTGTTTATTCTCCACCTACAAAAATAGCTTCGTTTCATATCTGCTTGCATATTTTTCCTGCAATGAAGATTTACTTAGTGTATTAATATGATTAGAAAGTTTAGGAATTTGTTAAACCACACAACAGCCTTGATAAGCCTAAGAAATCTTTCAAGATAAGTAAATTGAAAATGGTTTACTTGCGTAGTTGCACGTGGTCTTGTGGTTGCAAGAACGTTGGTGTCAGACAAGTTTTTTTAAAAAAAAACCCGAACAGGTCTCAATAACGAGAAGAGGGTCCAGACTCCTCTGAGAGTTGGTAGAGAACGAGATTTGTCCCTATGGCCAAACCCGCTCTCTGGCTTTCAGTCCGGTATAAAACGGAAGATCCTAATTGGGAAATCTTTTCTGCTCTCGGAGCCTTCCAACTTGTAATTTTTTTCATCACTGGAGTAATCTAGTCATCTATTCATGGAAGTTCGCTGTATCTGTGCTGCTTTGTCTCACGATTAATAGATTAATAAACTGAGTATTGTACAGAGAAAAAGAATGCGATTTTCTTTCACATGAATTATCAGAGGTAAGGCTTCTACGAAGCTCGAGTTGTATCACAGAGTGTTTTTTTGCATAAATTTTAAGTCAACTAATGTTAGTTTAGCCGGTAAATTCTACGGGTCATGAATAAATTTCTATTTCTAGAATTAAACTATATAACTTATTGAGAAGTTTATGCAAATCAATTTTTTTCAAATACATTTTACAAAAATATATCTGTTTTGTGATAAACAATTCCTTTTTCCCCCACTTTATCATTGACGTCTCTTTACGAGGAACACTATCGAGGCCCGCAAATTTCGTTAATCGAGAGCAAAAGAACTGCGGATTATAAGTGACTGCTCTTTACCGTTTGTACCATCATGAAAAGAAGTCTTAAAACAATACCTTTCGGATTGAATGCATCAGGTCGAAGAAATACATAAACTACATTTTGCGCCTTAAGGTAATCGTCTGTGTTTCTAGAACATCCGTGCTTGAGTCCCTAAAAGACTCCTAATAAGCTCTCTTAAACCCACTCTAACCAATAAGCATTAGCGAAAGTTGTTTTGCGGCAAAATTATCGAAAAATGTTATTTGATAGCAAGTCAGAAACTATGTATTTTCCATTTCTTTTTTTAGCCCCTTCGTAACGCCAGCTTTGCCAATGGAGTCCACTCATGGCTTGATTTTCTGCTAACCAGACATTGCAGTAAAATAGATGTGGATTCTGATTAGTGTACTCCTTCAAGAACCGTTTTCGTAAATGAGTTCGACCTTCAGCATTGTCAGATCCTCCCTCAGCTTGTCACGGTTTTTTTTTTGTTGTTGTCTATTAAACGTCTTGTCATTACAATTACGCCAGCCACACCTACTGTTTTTTTTACTGTCCCGCAACCGATTGCTACCACCATGTCGATTATGTCAGAAGAACGCTTAGTTCGTTTGGTTTTACCAGTCTAAAAGTACGTACAGAAAGCAAAGTTTTAGTATTTATGTTTTTTTTATCACAATGTGTATTGAACGAAGAATGAACGAGAATTGCGTTTTTCTCATGACGCATTACAACGTTGGTTACTTGAAGATGTGTAAGAAGATGCAATGGACGAATAGCGTGTTCTGTAAACTGTCTTCTTGGATTTACTCCGTTTGAGCCTTTCACCAAACGTCGAGATGCAAGATTTTCATCAAAAGCCGCCAATAAAGCTAGTTGATAGTAGCTTACGAGTCCAATAGGTAAGGTATACTGGGTATCGCCGAGAACTGGTCCAACTTCTGCGGATGATTCGTGGAACACTAAGCCATCGATGCCAAACGTAAATTTTTTAAGCATATTTATGTTTTTTGTACATTGTTTTTGCTGTTTTTTTTTTATTTAAAACTGGAGTTTGGAGCAGAACTGTAAACTCGTGGCTACCAGATAATATCTAACATGCTAATTTGTGATTACATGTTTACTCAAGGTAAATTTTTCGACCAACGAAATTCCTTGAGTTGAAAAGGCTAAAAATTTTACCGATTACCGTCAAAACTGCTAGTTTTTAAGAGGCCTTCTAGGCACTGCTGTCAATGACGCCACCCACTTTGAGACCCTCGCATAACAATAATTTATATAGACACAGTCATCGAGCTCACCCCAAAAGCTGTTACTGTAGTCATGTCGTCATCTGGTTTCTCAACGATGAAAGGCTCCGTGGTTTCAATCCCAGAAGCTTTTTCTTGAAGGTTCTCTTCAAGGGCAGGTTCTCCCTTGCCCTCTCCTGTGTTCAACAACACATTTGGCGTCATTCTTTGTAAGGTATTCAATAACCAAGTCATGACTTTTTTAAATGATTTTTTTGTATATTCAGTATTTATATAACAGATTAATGACTGTCTTGTTTAACTTCCTTTAGTGGAGGTGCTTATTTTGTCTCCTGGCCTTACCTCGGACCCATATTTAAGTTCTTGTTCTGGCGTTCACATTTAAAAAGTAATTGAGTGATCGGAAGCTTTAAATGAGTTGATTTTCATAAGTGTTAGGATTACTGTTCTGAAACCAATTCAGGGTTAAATCTTGCAAGATAAGTTGGCCTGCATGCCGACTCATGCCTATCGAGAGTGAATATAAAAGCGTGTACTACTTCAGAGTTCAGAGTTCATGAGAATGAGAGTCGACCAGATTAGAGTAGTTTCGATAGATAGTGAGTGTCAGAGTCAGTTAGAGGATGATCAAAGGGTTTTTTTGTGAGAAAAATAAATCTGATTGTATCGGAGAACTGAGATTAAAGGAAACTGAAATTTTTTTGCCTAGAGTCATTAGTACCTTCCACTGCCCTGCAGTAAATTTTCCCTTAGCCACTTTTTTTCACATTTTTTATACTTATGATAAAATATTTTGGAAGCTTTTTTAAAAAAAAAAATTTTTTTATATACATATTTGTACCGTTGATGCTATCATCGTCATTATCATTGTCATTATTGTTTTTTTAATCACTTATCACTATCGTTACTTTAGCATCCTACTTGTAAGGCTAACTCAACCTCTTTTGGAAAGCGTTTGCATTGAAAAGGTGGAAGCCTACTTACCTTTAGCTTCCTTTAATTTTGATTTGGACACCACTGACAGCATCGTGTCAAATTTAGAATTATCAGACTTCTTGAGGTCACATGAGTCGGAATTGTGACACTTGACTAAATAACAATTTTTGTTCACCATAAAAGCAACGTCGCATCTCTTCGATCCACAACAGTGTTTGACGCATCGGTCCATCTCTTTAATCCCTATCATCTTGTAGTACTTTCCAGCCTTAGCACCCTTACTGAGGGTCACATTGTAATTCACTGAACTTTTCCTACATGGTGTCTTATCAGATGAGATCAATTCGAGTTTTGCGTCTAAAAATTAAATGGATGATAAATGCAAGTATGTTTAGGTCAATATTTAACAATTATTCGCCGAAGGCGAGGTGTTTTTTTTCGAATAATCCCTGAGACGAAGTCGAGGGAATTATTCGACAATATTCACCGAACTTTTTTTGAATAATTGTTTTAGTAGAGAAATTTCTAAACTCATAACATTTTAGTAACATTTTTTTTTTTTTTATTTTAACATTTTATATAAACCGCGTGGAGCAGTTTATATAGCGTCATATTTTTTTTCGCTCGACCAATCAGATCGCTGGAAACTCTTTGCTCAGCTCTGAAATTATACTATTTTTTTTCACACACCATTACTGGACTTTCACACGGAAATCAGTGTAATGAACAGAGAGAGTGATGGAATAAGGCTTAGTTCTCGAACGCTGAAATGCTAGAAATGTATCGCTTTTATTAAGGAGAATCAAAGTTAAAATTAGCGGCAGAACATCTTATAATCATAAGCCAGGTTAGCCATCATTTCCATGATACATTGAAAAAATTATCTTCATCATAACATGAAGTATAAGTTTTGTCATTTAGTGAGGAATAATTTGACTGAGAAATGAAACACAAAATGTTACGATAAAACGTCAATGTAAAAAACTATTTTCAGAGTTTTAAAAAAGGATACCAAAAGAAAGAATTTATAGATATACCGCGATCGAGATGAACAAGATGTTAGACAGGTCAAATCAGCTTAGTGCAAGCTTGCCTGAGGTATTTTTTTTTGCTCCATTACAAAGAGAAAATAAAGTCACAACAATTTGTCTCTTTATCTCACCTGCTATACTCCAAAGGGAAAGCAGAAACAGGAACACAAGATTAAAAGCACACTCCATATCTTCGATTTTTCCCACCTATCGTTCAAAAAAAGAAAGAAGATCGGAAAAATTTGAACATCTTCACAACTGATAAACCAGATTGGTCAGCCATGTTCTGCGCACAATGATTAGTACAGTCTCTCTCCTTCCGATTGCCAACTCTCTCCAGCCCCCTTCTTGATCTCATAGATTTTGAACCGTGCTGGTTACAAGGCCGCTGAAATCTCTTTGTTCTTGTTGAACTGTTTTAAGAAAAGTATTTCCACCCGGTAACTTAACTTCTGGAAAGAGACAAGATGCATTTCAAATTATCCTCAACATGACGATGCTATTATTTTCACTTATGCCTGTTCTTCACTTCCAAAAAATGTACAACTGTTCGTAAACGCAACTTGCTGATTTATAGTATTGTTGTAGCCATCCTCACAATATTTAAATCTATCAGAAATTTCAGCAATGTTTTTAAGTACATGCAAGAGATCATTTTTGGTACATGAAACCATTCAGAGAGATATTCCATTGTGAAAATTCTGACATTCGTGTTGCAAGTTGCGTTGTCTTTATCAAGGTTGACACTTTGGTCTTCCGGTGGAAAAGTAGGGTCCCTACCGGATCATCGTTTTGTATTTCACGTGACCATTATTCCTAGCCTTCCATCAACATAAATAAGTACCAGAAAACTTCCAGTGAGGCTTGAAAAATTACGAGAGGGAGAAAAGGGGGATGGGGGCACATAAAATGACCTACCTACTTTTCTGTGCACAAGGAGTAGAAATACTCTTAGTAGTTCCACGCTACACTTGGGAAACTGGGAAAAGTTTAGGCAGCGATAGGCGATTAGGTTCGTGAGCTATACTTTTCGCGAATTTTCTCGGACAGGCAAAGGCGTATTAGTAGAGCAAATCAGTTCATCCACGATTGCAATGCTTCAAAAAGTTTAATTTGTCACGCTCGGTAGTGAAACGACCTTTATGTGGTCGTTAAAGATGCAGCACTGGTCAAAGAAAGAAACTTAGTAACGGATCACATTGGAGTCTCATTTTACGCCACCTTATACAGGTCAATTAACTCTGTTTTAAGATTCCCTGAGAGATGTTTGTGATCAGCACTCCGGAAAGGATATATACGTTTTTAAAAGGCTTTTAAAAAGCTGTTCAAAATTCAGATGTCTCATAATTGTTTTTTTTTTAAGACTTTTAAAACATCAAAAAAAAAAGAAAAAAAAGTGACCAAAGAGCACTATTTTTTTCAACATCCACAACTTGGCGTGTAGTTGTACAACAAACCATGAATGTGGCACCAGTTTTTTTTCTGAACTAGTGCTGTTCTTGTCACTGTCAAAACCCCTTTCATATCAGAGTTTGTTGGATATCAATACAGTTTTCTGTCTATTTCTCTTTTCTTAGTTAAAAGCTACGTGGTATGTTTTTTTTATCTATGAATCTATGATGAGGTTTGGAATTTCCTTTCGGACAGTCCAGCTCTAAAATGTCACTCAAAATAAACCACTTGCTTTTGTTGACAACAATTTTCTTGTTCCCAGGATAAATTTTGCATGTTTTGAAGAGCGATGCTTCAAAATTAGTCAAAAAATCGATAAAAAAAACGTTTTTTTCCCGCATTTACTCACCGAAGAAAACTGCAGTATCTGGAGTGTCAGTCGAAGATGAAGTCACTCTTCTCCGTAGAGACCATTACTTATGAATCGGAGCTGGCGCATGCGTTGTAGTTTTTTTTTAATAGTACCTGTCAGTGACGACGGGTATATTATGACAGTAGCATTGTTCCATGGGTGACATGTCACAGTAATCGTGTATGCAATATTGCCTCTTGTAGAAGGAGCAATTACTGTTTTTTTTGAACTAATTCAGTGTTGCGGACAGCCGTTACGTATGTATTAAGTTAGCGTCTATTCGGGCGTACTGTCCGATTTGTTCCCGGGCTCTGTAAAACTTCATCTGAGCCAAGGACTGATTTTTTTAATGTTGCAAGGTAACCCTTCTGATCTCGATGGTAACAGGTGTTCGTCAAAATAAGGGGATGTTCAAAGAGTCAACACTTTTGTGCAATATCTTGGCTGTTTTGGTCATCCGTTTTTTTTTTTGCAATTTTTTTTCCACGGTATTGACATGGCAACTTTGTGGCCATGAAGGGAAATTTTTTTATTTAAAAAACGATGAATTATCACAACAGCCAATCAGAGCAAAAGAAATCATATTCCAGTCCCTAAACTCTCCGTTCCGCGCTCTGTAACAGGGTTGGACCCAGATTTAAACCTCTACTGAGGGAGAATTTCGTACTTGTGCGAGGGAAGCTTTGGAATTGGAAACTCAAAGTAGATTCAT